CCCCCCCCCTTTCTATCTTTCCTGCAAACAGCCCATGGATAGCGGTATCACCGCGCCCCGAACAACACCAGCAACGACAACAACACCAGCAGTAGCAGCACCAGCTCTAACCAACGACGACGACGACGACGACGACAACAAAAACAACAACAATCAGCAGCAGCAGCAGCAGCAGCAGCAGCAGAAGCAATGCTCTCACCGTGAGGGCAAAGTCGTCCCCTCCGAAGGAGAAGTTGATGTCGTCGAACTCCGAGTCGCACTCCATAAGGATCAGTTCCACCTCGCGAGGGTTGCTCACGCAATCCATCTACATTACACCAGCAGCATGCATAGATCGTACCAGATCGAATTGTATCGCATCCGTCATCAAGGGGCGAGAAAAAAAGAGGTAGGTCAGCGACGACACAGGAAATGAGAGCGAGCGAACGAGAGAGAGAGAGAGAGAGAGAGAGAGAGAGAGATCCAAAACCCAAAACGAGTCCCGGAGAGCAGCAAATCATGCAAGACTCTTGCCCCCTGTTGTATCCTAGCAATGCCACCGTGGCACACACACTCCAGCAGCCACCGCAGCACCTTGTCGTACCGTACTCACACCAACACCCGAATGAGGCCGTCCAAACCGCGTGACACAGATGACACACTTCAACTACGAACAGTTTCCGGGTGCAAGGCCGGCCAACATCCTTTGGCAATGCTGCTGTACGACCGCAACCAACCACTGCGGGACTTACCGTTTCCACGCTGCTGGAATCTACGCCCGTGAAGTAAACGCACGTGGCTCCTATTTCTTCGGCAAGATAGGCCACGTCAGCGAACGGCCCCACTATCATCGAGGTTCCAGTGTCGAAGATGGCCGAAATCGGTGATCGGAGCACGCTGCTGGAACCGACGTAGATGTTCTGCAGAACAATGGACCAGAAGCCGTCGGGGCTGGCGCTCTCCGCCACAGCTACCCACTCCAAGCAGCCTGTGTGATTCGACATCACACATCGATTATTCGACCCGGTCAAGGCAGCGAACGTGAACGTGAAGATTGCTAAATAAGTACTGAACGAAGGGGCACAGAGCAAGAATATGGAAGGAGGGAGGACCATCAGGTTGTTTGAGTGGGGGTTCATACCGTAGGGTTGACCCATCACGGATCAAAATCGCTTATGTTGGTGGCCCCAAAACTGGCAAGCACAGAACCCCCACCTACCAACACCAGGCGAAGTTGCAGAAAGCATCACTAAGGACGAATCTGAGCCAAACCTATCGCCGTAACGCGTCAAAAGCTGGTAGGTTCACTACAATAGTGGCATCACCTTCGTAGTGTGTCTGGTTGACGCCTCCCAGGGTAAGGAAACCCGTGGGTGAGCCCGTGTCGATGTTTCCCATGAAGAAAGAGAAGATCGGTACGTCCACCACATTCGCCTGTGATTAATCGTTGCCGTTTGTTCGCAAAAGTCAAGGGTACAAAGATAGCGAGGGAGGGAGGGAGGGAGGGAGGGAGGGAGGGAGAGGGAGAGAGAGCGAGAGAGCGAGAGGTGCACCTCAATGGGGGTGTACTACTACCATGGGAGTCAGCCTCAGCAAACCGTCTAGAAATGCACACAAGCGTGAAGAGCACCGCATGATCGGGATGGGGAGGGGGAAGACCGTCAGCGACAACACATCACAGAACCTCGTACAAACCGTACAACACTGCCCCTTGTCCGCAACGCAACGGTACCAACCCTCTACAGCAGCGCTAGGGTGTAAACCACCACATCTTGTTCCGCTCGCCCGACATCGGAAGAGACGGTTTGCGCTTATCGTGCAGCGCGAACATATGGATAGACGAGGGTCAAAGAAACCACCCATCATTACCGGCTTTGATTTGTAACACTGTTGGAAAGTACTTGTACACTACAACAGCAGCGGAGGGTGCAGCTCTGACCGATCTGACCACACCCCACCTAACGCTTAATAGTAGGAATGTTCGGACGCTGCTGAATGCTACCTTCCTTTGTCCCATGCCCTCTCGATCCCCCTATTCGTATAATTTACGAACCTCCACAAGGTCTTCGAAGACGCTCTGTTTGTCCGAGCTCGGGACACCCATGCCTGACAAGAGGGAAAATATTTGTCACACATGTTTTTGTTTCATTGGACAGGGACAACGAACGGGACGGTGACAGAAATATCGACACCTAAAATCAAGCAATATCCACACCAAGTTCATCCTTCGCTCAGCCTGTCAACTCTCGAGACATCATTTTTTATTATGTACGCGTTATGTCCGTCTACGGCGTTTCGGCCTGCTGGAAGCCAACACTAAAACTACCACCATACTCGCTCTGAACATGACCATAATCATTTTTTGGTGAATGCACAAGTTAACATGTTTTCTACAGGGAGGGGTGGTGGTTGGTCCAAGGGTCGAGATACCCCAAAGGATGAACGACAGAGACTACGCAACAGCCCCTTCCAATCCTCCGCAATCCTACCCCCGTCTCATGCTCCCCCCCCCCCACGGCCTAGTATGGCCAAGAAGAGATCATCTCTCTCACCCATGATTCCATCCATAGTGGTGCAGCCGTCCATAGATCTGGTGGACATCTCTCCGAACGTAGCGGTGGTGGTCAACCCGCCGATGCTCAGAGTGTCCACCGACAGAATGCCTTTTAATCCCATGGCACGCCCAGGGGGATGGAAGAGACGGCGAATCGTGCGAAGTAAGACATGAGCGTGTTGGTCGTACCGACCTACCTTGGCAGAAGGACGTGTCGAAATGTTTGGGGTACTCGGCACCCGATACAGAGACTCTGGGGTACAAACTTGCAGTAAATTGTATCATACGGCGGCCCCCCCAGCATGTTGTACATATCACTCTCTAATCGAGAAGGGTCTTGAGTCAACCTTTTCTTTTCCTTTTTTCGGCCTCTGACATTGTTGCTGAATGCCAACTGCAAACATGTGGGGTACCAAACAACAAACGCTTCAACCCATTACAGTGTAGGATTGGGCGACTTCTACCATAGGACTGGGAACCCTTAAGCGATGCGTCCGCCGTCATTCTTGCAGCGCTCGACTTGGTGCACTGTTCGGTTGTGAAACACGCGTCGGTTTACACGCTCCTCAACGCCAGCGAGAAAACAAGCCCTCTCTCAGCACGGGTACTCCCGGTACGACGCGAAAAGAAACCACATGTCATGTGCGGGCAGATGTTTTCTTGCTGTCTTCACTTCAAATCAGCGCTCACAGCGTTTGTGCCGGACACTCCAACCCGTGGTCACACAGAATGGTGCCTCTCCCTGGGACCTCCTACACACCCGTCCTGCCGTACTGTGCCTTCAATTTTCAATGCGAGAAGAGTACAGCACTCTCTTCCCTCTGTATACAGGCCAGAAGCGGATGAGAGAAAAACTCACGTTGCAAAGGAAAGCTCGCTCTCGCCGGGACTCGAACCCCTGATCCTGACAACTATGAGGTTTTCGAACATACCAGCTAGACCACCTGGGCGACCGCCCTCGAACATTGAAAAAATAAAGAATATCTACACGCGTTTGTACCTGATGCCTCGGAACCATCCTCGTAAATCTGTGAGAATTTCCTGCCGTCTTCGACGTAGGTGCTCGACAAGGCGGAGTCGTACTTGTTGAAGTAATCGCAGTCTTCGGTACAGGAAACGCCTGTAACCTGTACTCAGTGGATAGGCATTTATCATTAACATCATCGTGCAAGTTCAGACGTACACATGGGCGATGGCGGTGGCAGGGTTAACGAGGGGGAGATGCAGGAAGGGAGCAGCGTGGCTCACGCTGCAGACGCACACGCATGTTGCCATTCGGGAGTGTGAGAAAACAGGCATGGAAACGCATGTGACAACCATACAAGCGGTGAGCGTTGTTGCACGTACGCTTTCACACTTTCGAAAGAAATCTTTGCAACGTACGGGATATCGAACAACGTGGGGAGTATTGATGTGGCACAAACAAGCTATGTTGCGCAAAGTGAGAGGAAGATTCAGTGATGCTTGCATTCTTTCCTGCAAGAGCCCGCGCCCAGCTATTTGAGAGCTTCAGCATTTACACGTCAACATTTGAGTTGGTTATGTCTACAATGATGTCCAGGCGGCGACCAAGCCACGCGGTCACCAAGTCAAAAATACTGTACTGGTACTATGCATACAACTCGATAAGAAGCCATCCGTCCGTGTTGAGCTGTAACCCGCAAAGATCATCAGCAGCTCGTGTGTGGAGCACATACGAGCAGGAGAGGCATACATAGCTACGAAGCTGTGGGCCCGCGAGGGTATGTATCTAATAACAGCGACGTAAAAGCGAGAACATCCAAGCAGCAGGGTGCATCATCGGGATATGAAAAGGGTCCCGTCGCAAGACTTCCAGCACATCATATAATAGAACTGTCATGATATTTGGAGGGATGATCGGACCCATGTTTATGGTTTCAAATGTTGGAAACAAAACTTCAACTGTTGTCAAACATTAGCGCGCGAATATCTGCCAGAGGAACATTTGAGTACCGTTTTAATGAGCAAAAATATCTTACCGTGTGGTTTTCTCGGAATGCACCAAAAGTGCGGCGAGAATCGCGGTCTACTGCTACCAAACGATTTGCGACAGAGAAACCACAAATGCGTCATGGAAACTGAACGTAACGAGCTCGCAAAGGGCTCCCCACTACCCTTGATGCACTGAGCTCATCAGAGCTCATCAGAGCTCATGCTGTGCCCGCCAATATGTGGCGATAGTGCTCCGGGCGTGCGAGAAAACATTTTCTCGGTATCAAAAGGAGACCAAAACGTGCGTCAGCGCTTCCCAACGGCAAAAAGTTGGCCGCTTGAGAGGAGGACACGTGAGTACAAAACTATCTAGCTCTCGCGCGTAAGACCATCGATCCATGTTTTGTCTTTTTTGGCGTCTTCTCCATCAACGACTCTCATCCGGTTGCGCGTGGGTTGGCAGTGGCCGTGCTCAGTCGGCAGGGAGGCACATCGTTGTGCGCGCAAAGGTTGTGGACACGACGATTTTTTCGGGCTATTTTTCACTTGAATATAGAGGGCTTGTTCCTCCGTCCCAAAAAAGATTTTTTCAACTAGATCGAGTTCACAGCGACGCGCCTCCCTGCTTGTTGAGTACGTCCACTGCTGAACCACGCACACCCGGATGAGAGCCGTTGATGGAGAAGACACCCAAGAAGAGACAACATGAATCGATGATCTAGAGGACCAGAGCTGGATAGTTTTGTACTCACGTCTCCTCACAAGCAGCTGACTTTTTGCCGTTAGGAGACACCAAGCACGTTTTCTCCGTGCCCTCCAAACCACCCCTGTCTGTGTTTTAAGTGCACGCTTGACGAGCTCCCGCCATGTATCAGCCGGCAAAACGTTGACACGGTGACTCTAGGGTTGTCCGGATCCCTCTATGAGCTTGCTACGTTGACTGTGCGCTGCGCAGTGGTTGGTGTTTAGGACGGAAGGGACGGTCGGCTACTAATCTCATCGCTCTTGGAAAAGATTTTCGAGACCTCCTCAATTTCAAAATGTTTGTCAAACATTTAAGCAAACGAGCGATTTTTGCCCCATTTGAAAATTTTTGGGAATATTTCGCCGAAGACGTCTCCCATAAAAAGTGAAACAAAATCTTAATCCGCAAATCTTTGGATTTACGACCGAACCGTCCCCCCACAAAAATGAAAGGTTTTCCGAAGGAGTTCCGCACAATTTTTCATCGTGGCACATCATGGCATGTCCGGCGAACCATCCAGATGCCACTTCCTCTCCTCCTCGGCACAACACCCCGCGCCGTTGGGAAAAGGCGCACTGCACAGCAAGCTGCATCTAAGAATCCGGCAGCATGTCCCCATGCCTCCCCGCCACGGCTGGCTGTGGACATTCACCGAGTATTCAAGGAAGACTCCCGTACCACGGATTCCAGCGACCTGTTCCCCGACGAGTGATGATTGATTGATTGATTGTCGCTTTGCGCGGCAATCTCGCCGCGGAATTTGTTGTCGGGCTCCCTCCTTCCCCCCACCTTGCCATTCCCACACCATTCCTACTCTCTCCATCCTCTAGCTCCTCGCTTCACTCCAACCTGCGTGTATGTCATCCGCTTCATCCCACATCTCCAACGACCGTCGCTCCCCATCCTCGCGCCTCTCCAGCTCCTCGTCGATCCTGGTTCTTCCTCCGCTCGTCCGCGCACCGCCGTAGAGGCTCGAGCTCGGCCGGTACATCATCCGGTTCGGCCGGTGCAGCGTCCGTCTCACCCTCACAACCCCTTTTCAGCATTCCGCCGGCTACGCCTCGCGTCGGGCTCCTCTTCTCGGCCCGCGACGTGATAGCTACGAAGTTCAAGGAAGACTGTTGGTGGACAACGCCTATCACATACGCGAGTACATCAGGCCCAACGTCACCTCGGCTTCTGCCCTGCACGTCCTAAGGACTTATCATCTCGAAGCTTCTCGCTACAAATCTCTTGATCAAGCAAAACAAGTCCATCAAAGATCAACATAAAGTGTTTCACTCGAGACCGGCCCGGTGGAAAGTTCCGGGAAAATTCCTGACAACAATGGGTTTCCAACTTTCAAAGGCAGGCGTTTCTGCCCTCTTGATCTACACCCGAACCATCCCCACAATTTATTTTCGTTTCGACATTTTCGCAAAGATTTGGCGACCATAAACATGGGTCTTAAGACATTTGATCGTGCTCGACCTTGAACACTGGCGTTGTCATTGTCAGATGCTATAACGTGACGTCATGCAAGATTCGGGCTTTCTGTCGAGGCTTGTGCCCTTTTGTTCAGCGTGAGTGTGTGCGTCCGATAGGGGTTATCGTGTGCGCTTGAGCCCTGTGCGTGTTGGCTTGGGTTGGGTAGGAAGACAACGGGAAACCATTGATAAAGGGGAGAGAATTAAGGAAAGCAACAATAACCTGCATCTGTGGTCGGACAAGAGCAAGAGAGTTGTGCAGCAGAGAGGTGATTGATTCAAAAGGAATTGTTGAATCTCACTGGGAAACTTGACAAGAATCACCACCAGGTGATTAAACAAGTATTATTTTTTTTAATACTTCTACTATATTACTCAGCAGTATGCATACCACTGCTGTAGTAACATTCCTTAAAATAACACAACGAATCCATCTCTCTCTAAAGAAAAGAGTTTACGATAAAAGAGATGATCAATGAATCCTCTAAGCGTCCGCGGGAAGCTATGTACTTGTATTTCCACGGTTTCCAGCTGACTACTTCGGACTGGAGACTGTGTTTCTAAATATGTAGAACTGTGGAGGACACCTGTCGGAATATATAACCAACCATTTGTGCACATACAAAGTATAGGAAGATATGATTCCTAGGTTAGCCCCGCAAGCCCAACATGTACTGATGAACATGCCATTTAATAAAAACACAAGAAAGTGTGCCTCTGTGTCTCGCGTGTCTAGTAAAAGTGGATCTCAATATGCATCGTTTCATGCGTCAGCACTTAGTAAATATCTACAACCCCCTAATGCGTTAAATTCGTCCNTAGTGGATCTCAATATGCATCGTTTCATACGTCTGCACTTAGTAAATATCCACAACACCCTAATGCGTTAAATTCGTCCTCCAAGAGAGTGCGAATTCCTGCCCGAGTTAGTAATTACCCTGTGTCCGACCTTACTATCGACACAGCCGCTGATGTACCATGTATATCAGCATCCTTTATCAAATCGCACCCAAAACTGCAACATCTACCTCTGAACCCTGTGCCGCCAGGTGCAATTCAGTTGAACAGTGCAGATGGGTCCGCATTAGAAATCCTAGGTTACATTCGTTTTAACCTTACACTGGGAGATATCACTTTACCAGTGGAGGCCCTGGTGTTACCAAACCTAGGTCCGGATAAAATGTTGCTCGACAATAGCATAATGAATGCCTTTGGCGCCGTACTAGGCTGGTGCGGCGAGCAACTTTCGTTTAACAATTCCACAAGGAAAATTCCGGCAAAACACCGACGAACGAATAGTCAAGCAGACCCAAATGATAGTGCTCCAGCACAAATATCTATAGTTGCGCTTGACCCATCAGTAGGAGCGGTGCCTGTATATCTCCCCAAGAGATACTGCATTCCTCCCCAACATGAAATGACAGTAGACGTAGTGGCTGAAATCGCGCCTGAGGCGACCACGCCTGCGTTGATAGAACCACGTATCGTCACAACCCAGGACATGGAATCGTCCGATAGTATACCCGCAGCGTTTCGTAGAATACTAGTTGCGAGGACCGTGTGCAATTGGTCAGCAACTGACAAGTCAGCAGCAGTACAAATTGCCAACCCGTCCAAACGACATGTATACCTCGAACGCGATACAATCGTAGGGTACATTTCACCTGTCAAATCAGTCGCCGAGAAAACAGTCAGCGCTGTGACTAGCGACCAAACTACGTTCAGACAAAAGCGAGATGAGCTTAAAGGAGCCATGAAAAAAGCGTTCACGAACACTACATTTACTCCGCAACAATGCTCGCAAGTTTTGGACTTATGTGCGAAATATCGTAATGTATTTTCTTTGTCTTCCAAAGAACTTGGAAAATGCACGATAGCCAAAGCAGATTTTCCCCTAGAACCAGGCACTAAACCAGTCGACCGTGCTCCCTATCGTACAAACCCTAGAGCGCAGGAAGTTATC